ATTCCTCTTAACACAACATTTAATCCTACTTCAAAAAATATGGTGGAAATATGTGGATGACACTTACACAGTGTTAAAAACAGAACATATCTCCCGATAGCTTCTTGACACATATAAACTCACTGGTAGAGGGAATAGAATTCACATTTAAATCAGAAAATGAACAAGGAGAATTAGCTATGTTAGATTAATAGATAAAACGAATAGAAGAAGGCAAACTACACACTAGTGCTTACAAAAAAACCAACGCATTCTGCTAATAGACATTTAGACTTTAATTCGTCTCATCCTTTAACTGTTAAGGCAGGCTTAGTTAAATGTTTAACAAACCGAGCAGTGGCACTAAGTAGCACTAAAAAAGATCTAAATGATGAATTAAAACAGATGGAAGAAGCGTTGGTATCAAATAACCATCCTTGTAAAATTCATTAGGAAGATGAGTAAAGGCCAAAAGCAAAATAAAAATAATTGTGAAACTAATAATGATAACATAAATAGGAGAGAATATAAGGCATCCACTCTTATACCATATAAGGAGGGGACATCTTAGACCCTACGTAGGTGATATGTATCCACATATATATATTTATGTGTGTGTGTGTGCATGTTGGTCTCTCTTTCTGTTTGCTCGGTTAGTCTGTGACCACTTCACTTGTATGGACTTGTCTCCTTTAGTGTATTCTCTTTTTATTATATTATATTTTTTTTTTTTTTTTTTTTTTTTTAAATTTTTACTTCACACCATACTTTTAGTAAAAATATAGGATTTTCACCATAGATATGGGGACCGCAAATTTTATACGGCCAACCAAGATATAAGATGTGCGGGGGGGCGGGGGCGGACCCCACCCCCTGTGCATGGGCTGGGAGAGCCCAAACCCCAGTGCCCCCCCCACACAGTGTTTTTTTTGACTGCCGTTCGTTGGGTTATATATACATATATTTTTTGTTGGTTTGTCTGTTATATTCATTTTGTATATTTGAATCGACCCACCATTAAATTTAACTATTCATTTAAAGTTTGTCTAATTTTTTTTCCCACCCTTGTCTGTATTATATATTTATTCGCATTCACAATTTGTGTTAACTACTTTACTTTACAACTACTTTTATTTTTCACACTTATGTGGGAGGACTTATTTTTTTTTCCTTCTGTTTGTTGTATAAAAAAATAATAACAAACACCGAGGTCTTCTTCTTTTTCCCTCCTCCCGCCTCCAGCATTAGTATTTCTACCACCACCCAAAAATAATAATAAGACAAGAACAAAAAAAAATTTAGACGGGGGGAAAAACAATTATTAACACACAACCAACAACAAAAAAAAATTTAATATTTACTATTAAAAATTAAAAATTGTTTTTATAACAAAAAAAAATAATAGAAATATTGGTCATCCACAACAAACGGCCTGCTCCACCTCCACGCAATCCCAATCATACCATGATACCATCTGTCGACGGAGTTGTGAACAGCATTTCACAGTTCAATTATGACCCAGAGGCTAATGTCACTTTTTACACATGGTATCAACGTTATGAGGATTTATTCACTGTTGATCTCGCCTCCCAAGACGATGACTCGAAGGTGCGAGTGTTGCTACTTAAATAGGGTCCGGCGGAATATGAACAGTACTGCAACATCATATTATCACAGAAACAACGAGACAATTGTTTTTATGATACAATAAAAATGTTGCGTGAACATTTCGGAGACCACTCCTCCTCATTCTGTATACGTTTTCGTTGTCTCAAGCTGGCAATGAATAAAAATGATGATTTTCTTATTCTCGTTGTCACAGTCACCCGCGAATGTGAGAGAGTTCGACTCAGGTCCTCATCAGATGATCAGTTCAAAACCTCGATTCTCATATTCAGACTCCAATCTCCTCGTCTCACAGATATACGAACACGACTGCTCAATCACCTAGAACAAAAACACAAGATAACATTATAAGACAAAGCTGATGAATATCAACAGCTGATTATTATGCAGAAAGACACACACACGGACTAATCAAAACACCCCCAAAGCCCTGAAATTCTGGTATTCCACAAAAGAAAAAAAACCTCATCTCCTCATCTCCTCCCCCCCCCCCTCCTAATTTTCTCGGGGAAATCAAAAAACATCCTCCAACCTCCCAAAAAAATGCAAAAAAGACCCCCCCTCCCCCACCCTGCAATGGTGGGGGGGGGCCTTTTTTAAAGTTTTGTCATACAAAAAAAAAACTTCCAGCAAGAGCAAATCAACCGTCAACAAAAAAGTTTTTTTTTGCCACCCAACCCAGCTAACAAAAAACAGCCAAAAATCAACAAAAAATTGGTTCTAAATCCCAAAAAAAAATTGAGTCTACCCGCAACCCACCAATCACAAAACCCACCATGCGGGAAAAAATTGACCTTCAGATGAAAGGTCATGAAACGCTCCGCCCACAGATATACCCTCTCTTTTATTTTTTTTTTAAAAAAAAATTTGGAAATATTTTTGGAGACCCCCCATCCCACAAATTTCCCCCTCTTTTTCCACCCCCTGGGGGGGGGGGCCCAAAAAATTTTGGGAAAACAAAATTTTTTTTTTTCCTCCCAAAACAAAAAATACAGAGATTTTTTTTACCCCAAAAAAAATTTTAAAATTTTTGGGACTTGATTGGTTCGATCGTTTGCATCTGGCTGATGTCCCCCAAAATTCTCTACGCAAAACAGTGAAAAAACAAAAAATGCTAGAAAATTCCGGACGGGGCCGAAGCCCCAAACCCAAAAAACAGACAAAAAGACAGGGGTCAAAAAAAAGCCCAAAGGTCCCAGAAAAACCCCCAGGTAAAAACCCCACAAAACATCTTCTTCTCAAAAGGGGGGGGGATATATATCCACATATATATATTTTTGTGTGTGTGTGCATGTGGTTCTCTCTTTTTGTTTGCGCGGTGATTCTGTGACCCCTCCACTTTTATGGACTTTTCTCTTTTAAAATTGTGTATTCTCTTTATATTATATTATATATAATATGAGTGTTTTTGGACACTCCGTGGTTTGGGGACATATATCCATATATGTTTTTGGGCATGTCTCTTATATTCGCTATATATATTTGGAGAGACACTCCATTATATTAAGCCATACTTGTTAAAACTCTCTATAATTTTTTCCCCCGCTTTTCTGAATTTTTTATATATATTTGCATTTACAATTTTTGTGAAAAACTTTTCTTTTCAAATACTTTTCTTTCTTTACCCTTTTGTGTGAGAACCTTTTTTTTTCTCTCCCTGTGTTTTGAAAAAAAAAATATCATCGCAAAACCAGGGGTCTTTTGATTTTCCCCCTCTCGCGTCAAGGATATTTGTTTCTCCAACCGTCCAAAAAAAAAAATTAGCGAAGAGTACAAAAAAATTTTGGGACGGGGAAACTAGAACATAACAGTAGGATTCTCAACAAAGCAGGAATTAGGGTGGCATTCAAACCTACAAACTCATTCAGGCAGGCACGACAAGCTCTGTAGGCTAAAAGACCCGGTGGATCCAATTAAACAAAATAATATAATTTACAAAATACCCTGCAATGACTGTGAGTTACGGTCAACTATATAGCTCAAACTAGTAGATCGGGGTAATCAGATTGTCGGAACATAAGAATTTAGTTAAGGTAAGAATGGTTAACCCGAGAAGATAAGTAATTTAGAAAAAAGCTCAGCAATTGCACTTCACGCATTAACACACAACCACACAATAGGATGGGAGAGGGTTAAGATTCTAAGAAGTAATCTATGTAGGTGAAGAAAGATAGATTGATTAGTGAATCCTGCCTGGTTCATCGAGTAAATCTACACCCAACACATGCAACAGAAATGACTCGATGCAAATACCAGAGATATGGAAGATATTGTTCCCAACAGTCAGTCAAATCACACGAGGATAATGAATAATCTCAAAATTCTATTTCAATTCATTTCACGTAGATCACAACATTCTAACAAGTCACCTATTATCACTATCTGTCTATCACTATAAAGACACTCGTCTTATTTCCCATCTGATTTGAATTGATCAATAACACTCATATTATTATTTCTGAATGCATATTATCCTATACTGAATTTTGTTCAAATATCTAGTCAACTCCACACATGTATATAAATGAAGGTAATAGGTCGTGTAAGTTGATATGATTATGAGCCATAGTTTGTGCTCAAGACGTCATCAGTTAATATTACTGTATAACACTGTGTGATTTATCAAAATAAAATCTTATCCATAACGGAGTGATAGAGACTATAATTCCATTGTGGTTAAAATTTCTTTCGAGAAAGTCTCACAGTGTTAAAAAGTAATATTTACTGATTACGTTTTGAGCACAATTCATTCTTCAGTAAATATAACTGTATTACACTATGAGACTTCATCAAAATAAATTTTATCCACAATGGAATTATACTCTGTTGATTCTCCAACTCAAAACTGAGAGCTATTTTCATCACATGTGACAGGAAGGTATCCTCTGTAATACTTTTCCACAGTTTTTATGCATTTTTTCATAAATACATGTATTCCATACACAAAAAGACCTCCTTCGCGTGATCGGTGCGTTCAAGGTCACTCGCTGATCAGTAGTTTATTTCTGATTACAGCTTGACCCCCACACCGTACTTTCGGTAGAAGTATGGAGTTTTCAGCGTGGATATCGGTAGCCCAAATTTCGCAGGCCGACCATAGATATCAAGTGTGCGTCGGCGAGGGCTCGAACCCCGGACCATGTGCATGGTCAGCGAGAGTCCTAGCCACTGTGGTGCTTGAAGTTTAACTTGGCCCATGTAAAGCTTGTATGAAAAGGAACTTAAATATGCTGGAAATTTCTGTAATATATGTTCATTATTATTACTATTGTTTAGAATTTTCTTTCTTTTACTATATGTGAAAACGAAATTCCCGCCATATTTGAAACACCTTAATTTAAACAAAAATACAACATGAACAATTGAATTTCACAGGTTTCATTAAGTAAACTTACATTAGTCATAATCGTATTGCTACCAATAGAAACATTTTCTAAATAAGAATTAACAAAACAAAAAAGAAAACAACTTTATGCATAAATTCGATAACTTACGATGTCCATTTATTCGATAAGGTGAAAGTGGGGTTTTATTCACCGAACTAGAAGGAGGAGGAGGAGGATATACTTCACAGGGTAAAGCAGAAAAAAGTTTCTTAAAAAAACAATAAAATATTATTTATTTTTTTTAAATAACACTTTTAAAGTAATTTACTTCATCAATACAATTTGAATTAACTTTTGCTATTAATGATTTATACAATTTGGAACGTTTCTCTTCTACAACTGCAAATTGTTTTAGTTTATCACTTTTTAGCAATTTGAAATTTTCTGTTAATTCATGCGTAGATTTAGCACTAGAATTCTAAGATTACGGAGGTATAAGCGATTGTATTTCTGCATTACTTCAGATGGCAAATTGAAATGATCCTTGAGAATCATTTTGATGAAAATGTCGAATGAATAATGTTGCTTCTTTTTATCGACAAAGTTAGTCTGAATGGTTGAATAATGAACAACTAACTGGCTTCGTCACCTGTAGGTCACGATTTCGACCCCCTTATTGGGGTAGTAGACAGGTGAAGTGCTGAAGAGTTGTTCAAAACAAGAATAGGGAAAACTGATCCAGTGCTCCTTGATTTGATAAGCCTACTTGTTATTGAATTATTCAAAACAGTTTGACATATGGACATAAATGATTTGCTAGAAAAAAGTTAAAAGAAAGATAAAGAATATTAAATTAAGTTGAAGAAAAATTAATTAACGTGATAAAGAAATTAAACGATAAACTACTGGAAATTAACCTTATGCCTTCTCATTTTTAAAAAGATTTGAATTTATTTTTTACTCAAAATAAAAATCTAGAAACTATAAATGCCTGAATGGTCTACAAGTTAGCCTTGTAACCAGAGGGTCCTGGGTTTGAATCTTGGCAGTATGGATGGGTGTGTCCTACTGATGAGTCCCGGACTAGGACTCCTTGATGGTGTTCAATTGTGGTTCTCTTGTAACGACAGAATACAAGGGTCAAGCAACAGCTCATTTATTTAGAAAATCAAGGGGTGTGTATAGATTTTTATGTATATTATTATTACTGGAGAATCAACGTCTTCTGATTGGTTGTTTTCTTGTTGATGATTATTTTGTTATCTCTGTGTGGCCGTTTCTCAGAAAATCAAGCCATATATCTGCGAATCATATGTGAACAGGTTAAATCCACTGTGATTGGCTGGTGATTTTCTCAAGAAGACTCAACAAAGAATGTTCTTTTGGATAACTTTTTCTACAATGATATATATTACAGCAAGACAAATAAGAGAACAATATTGTTATTTAAATCTTCAGGCTTCATTGTAATTGACAAAGATTAATACATAAAAAATTATAACCAATGACGGTGAGTGTGTAGATCAAATGACAATAATAACGATGATTTTAATGACAACAGAAATAATGATAATAAGGTTTATGCAGGCGGTAATAAGAATAATAAAGGTGGTAATATGCGTGTGTATATGTAGACAATTCAATAAATAAATAAGGTCAAATCTTAAAAGTTACGTAATGCTAAACAAAAGTGAAGTGGACAGATAAACAGACTTTAAATAAATATCATAAAAGTACGAAGGAAACGGAAAATAAGAAAGGGTTGGAGGGTTTCAATTAGACTTTACATAAGCCAAAGGAGAGGCAAAGGTAGAACAAACTTCTTTTGTTGCATACAAAGACTAATATTTCCTGGAATCTGGAAATCTGCTGAAGAAGCTTTGGCTTACACGGCGAAAGGTTCAGAAAAATCTTTTTGATTTTCTTAACACGCTGGGATTAATTTAAATAATTTGTAACGACTAGGATTGTTCTCTCGAATTAATTCCCAAAGCTTCGGTTATGTATAAAAGGCGAGTTCGAATTCCGTTCGGAAGGTTCGATGGGATGTGACAGATAACTTTGAAGGCACTAATTTTGTCCACTTGATGACCGCTATCATCAATCAAATGAGTCAAAATAAAACTTCTTATAGGTTTTATTTGGCTTTCTCCAAAGTAACAGATAAATTTGTAGGTATGCATAGAAGTGGCACAGCTGGGTAGCTTGTCTTTGTGTTGAACAATCAAAATGACACACAAAGAGTGGCGATAGTATAGATCCGTTTAATTGCTCTCGGTAATCTTAGATGTAGGACTTCACTAGCCACGTCCTCATTGAATTGCAATTTCATGAAAAGTTTCTTTTTAACTGTTGTCAGTTTCTCTTTATTAAACCTGGTGTTCATGTGTTTCCTTGAAAATCTACTGGGATAACCCGATAAGACAGCGTATTTTAGATGTATCCCAACTCATTTTCTAGGGAGTCATCTGTACAGATCCTTCTTGGTCTATTCGGGAGGCATCTAACCAATCGATTTTGTATCGGATTGGTACGAAGTTGAAGAAGTGTGTATATTGTCGTACAGACATAGGTTTTCTACAGACATCTCTCCAGTGAACCATCTCCCCTCCCGCTCAATTGGACATCAAGGAAATGTAGTCTACCATCATGTTCTTATTCACAAGTGACGATGAACGATGGATGTGCATCATTAAATTTCATTAACATTTCATTCTTGTCAGCTTTCTCATCAATAATAATAATAATAATAATAATAAACGTGTCATCAACATAACGGAAATAAGAATCCATTTTATCTATTACTTGTTTCAATGGACCATTTTCGAGCTGGGCAAGAATGAAATCTGACCCAGTGGAGAACCAATGGCAATACCATCGATTTGTCTGTAATAGTTTGTTGAATGTGAAATGTACATTCATAGTGCAATTCGTTGAAGATTTGACCCAATTGTTTATTTATTGAATTGTCTACATATACACACATAGACATTACTTACTGCCTTCGTCATTCATATCGCCACCTGCATAAACCCTATTATCGTCATTTTTGTTATCATTATAATCACCGTTATTATCTACTTTCAAAACATTGACCATATTATTATTAAGATTATTTGATCCACAAAATTACCGTCATTGGTTAAGATTTTTACATATAGATCTGTGTAAATTAGAGTAAAGCCTGAAGAAGATATAATTGACAACAGTATTATTCCCTCGTATGAGTGGTCTAATATTAAAAATGGTAATATCTAAAGATTTGAAATCAGTCTGCTGAATAAAATTGCCCTTGGAATAAAGTCATCAAAAGCAGAGGTGTATAGTCTAAAAAGGAAGCTCGGACAAACTTTGTGCCTTTATCAATACTTAAACCAATATTGTGGTGGAGTACACTAGTATCCTATATAGTTCAAGTTGATAACTTTCAATACAGGCAACTGAATCACGTCACACCGTAAAGCTGAGATGTAGTACAAATGAATACTAATCCACCTTCAAACACTTAATAAGTATGAAGCGCATGCTTACAGCATTGAGAACCGACTTTTTTATTTTTCAATGTCTTCAACTTAGATGACAATATCATATATGTGCTAACAAAAGAAGAGCTGGGAATCAATACTATCCGGATGTTCAAACAACGGAAGTATCTGAAAGATGAAAAATTAGTTTGGTATAGCCATACAGAACCTATCGTTAATTCCTTGAAACAGGCTACATAGTATCCGTTTTGAGGTGACTGAGTTTTCGTCAGTATGTAGAAAGTCTGCTCCAAGCTAAGAACTACTATTATAAAGCAAGTCAAGGTGTAAAGCTGCTGGAAGAGCATGAAGTTCTTGACTGTATCTGACTAGCTGCTTTTTGAAGCCTATAATGAAAGAAGTGCTAGTATCTAAGATGCCCATCGTACTTGATGGATGTTGTTGTGCTGAGCATTACTGAGCACTTCCCTAGTTGTTTAGATGAGAAAATTTTTCACTTCGGAAATTTCATATTGGCAGAATACTTGGTTAAATTCAGGTATAGGAATTTCAAACAGCTTGCGAAATACAGCCGACGCAGAAATACTAATTTAGGTCGCAACACAGCAAACGTAATGACGTTTGACAGTAATAATTTGCTTTATTCCAAAACACTGCTTATGATACAGCATGGAATTCCTTGCATTTGGTACAACATAGAAACGAATTTACTGAGAAAAGAACTTTACATGGTATAGGCAAACAAAACTGATATTAGCAACTTTTCTTGGCATTAACAGTAACAATAAGTTCGAAATGTATAAAAAGCATATAACAACTAAGTTTATAAAATAGTAAAAATAGTATCACCATAAGTTACAAGTTAGAGAAAGTCAAAGAGCTATTCAATTTTGTATATAGTCTGTTTTCTTTATTACTCCTTTGTCTCACACATCTGCTCACTGTTTCTATTATGCTTTTCTTGTACTTTCTTCTCTTGCTTCGCGTGCTACACGGAGTGTGGCGACTTGAACTTCCGCACATTTGTGTAAAGTTCTAAGTCGAAAACAGACAGACAGATATAGTCTTTTACAATGACTTCTAGGCCTGCGTGATGAGATGCAAAGGGATATTTGAGAATGAATTGGGTACTGAGTGTCCGACAATATGGCTTTATTGGAAAACCTTGGAATACTGGGCAAATGTTTCGTCCTAGTTTAGGACTCTTCATTAGTACGCACTCACAAGGGTTCAAACTTAGACCTTTCGGTTACAGGGTGAGCTCATGATGAAATACTATGACCAATCGAAGCAAATCCCTGCAAACCAACACTTTAACATAGCTTTAGCCTAATTCTAAAATTAGTTTAGATGCCCATCAACTACACTGTTAATGACGTACTCTACTGATACGTGTTAATACCCTTTTCAATATGACGTAGTCCTTTTTTAGTAGAGTTTAAGTTATTCCTGATTATCTTAATTTCTGATATTAGAAGGTCACACAAAACATTTTCCTAGAAGTCAACAGTATACGGGATGACCAAGAAAGGTCAGAAGAATCAACTATTCTAATGCGTTTGATGATCGACTTGATTTGTACTTCAGTGCTCTCGACGATACAAGCATCATGTAATGAATGGACCAGTTCGTATAGATTACATTTATTCCGGAAGATGAAGTTAACTGTCTGACATTTAGAGGGATTTAAAGTAAGACCTTATAACTCAGACCACCGGCTTACATCACATACAAAAAGCTATTCAGTTTGAAACAGTTAGATTAGCATTGACTGACTTGGAGACAATCAGATTATCTGCATATTTAACGAGCTTGATTTTGTATGAACAAGGCAAATCGTGTAGGAAGAAAGAGAAAATAAGAGGAGAGAGAACAACCCCTTGAGGGACACCAGCTTCAACAAGCAAGGTTGAAGAAGATTTGCCTTCGTGAACAGTACAAAGAGTATTCATGTCTGCCAAATATTCTGCGACCTACTATATCGAGTAAGAACCTGCAGGTGATCATCATTCATGATGGCATTTATTTTGCAGTCATTTCGTAATGTACTCCAAAAAAACTGCTTTATGATTTTTGATACAACTGAGCTAAAAAAAGTAGTAAGCGTAAGTTAGCAATAACCAAAAGCTTCACAAAAATACTGAGACTTCCATAAGCTATTTACAGTTTCTGATGTCAACAAAACACTGAACTAGGTATCGCTCAAATAATAACAATAACACCTTCACTTTTGTGTGAAATTCAGGTAAGATTAATCCTCAAACTCTAAGGACACTCTTAGACGCATAATATAAGCTGAAAATTTTAAAGAAGTCGTCCTAACGAATATCAGAGATTTAACACAATGTTCAGCACTGAATGAAACCAAAATTTTAGAGACAACGCTGAATGGCATCTAACCAAAATGATCTTACAACATGGATGTCACGCTCAAACCAAGTTTACTGTCAACCAATTACGTTCAGAGTTAAGTGATATGCATTTTCGGATTATACCAGATACCATGAAAAAAACATTACAGCGAGCCAAAAAGGCTGGTGTGACCCAGATTTTATAATTAAAGAACATGTGACAGAATTTAATAATTTCCATAGCATAGGTAAATTTGTATTGAGTAAATCAGCTTTGGAACAGTGACAAACTGTTAGAGAAATAAGTGTAGAGAAACATACACACATTCCGCCTTACCGCTTAAAATTAACTATCAGTGATAGTTCCTACTCTCCTAACTTTACTATAACAAATTCGAACACTTTTCTATTAGAGTTACATTATATAGAAGCTTAAGCCCTCAGAATTGAGAATCAATCGCCACTTGCTTTTTTATTACCTAAGTATTGCAACCATAAATTTGAAAGTCAGCTTTTTAATTAGAACTTCATCCAAAAGTAACTCTGAGATTACATTGAGCTAAGATCTTAACCATTTTGTCCATCTGGTAATACGTATTTGCACATTATTATCTGACAAGCGTAAAATTTTGTAGTAGAAAAGAAAAATTTTCACGGTAAATGAACAATATTAAACATACTTTTAGCAGGCTTATTTTAATTCAATGAATTTTTCGTGCCTAGCAACCTATTTTACAATCACATAAACGCCGAACAATTACAACAAATTAATGCAGAAAAACAATCCGGTCGGAGGCCCAGAATGTAAATTTCTATCGTCAGGAGAATAATTCTGAGGTGGAGTGGGTGCTGAAGTTAATAAACAATTAGCTTGCTCTTTTCAGTTAATTGCGAACGTAATATCCAATAACCGACGTCAATTTCAATAGAAGCTATAAACCGAAGTTATGTGTTGCGACAAAGATTTATGATGTAACGCGATCATGAGTGGTCACTCTTCCTTTTTAATGAAATAGAAGACTCCAAGGAAGACAGTCAATAAGCTAGGATTGAAAAGAATTCAGTGGTTTCTGTGAAGACTGCTGTACTGTTATGGTCAAAGTTTGTCTTTTCTCCCTTTGTACCTTTGGATGGGTTGGAATGAATAAGTGAAATAAAGATCATAGTATGTTAATGATAAAGATCCCAGAATGAAGAACTGTGAGGTATTCTGGAATTTTAGCGGAATTGAAGTGAATGATAAAATCAACAGATTCGGTCAACTTTTTGGGGCCTTCTTAGAGAATAGCATGTTGTAGTTGCATTCCGACGCTTTTGAGGCACCAGACACTTAGTTCGAGTCCGACAGTCAGTATGTGACTGCCTATCTGCAGTTTAAGACGAACCAAATATGCCAAACATTTAAACCGCAATGTACGCCTTTTTGTTTTCAATGTCTTCCTCTCGTGTTTCCAATGTTGTTTCACCATGATTTTCACCTTTTCCTTTGACATTTTGAATCATTTCTGCGATATTCAACGTTTTTTGAAGAAGATATCGCACGCAATATACTACCTACAAAACCTTGTCTACAGAAGCCACGATGGTGTGAGTGAATGGCAGAATACCAAACTAAGGTCGGAGATAAATTAGCTCGCCAACTGTGTAGCTATATCATAGGCGTTCACTCGAGCCGATAGCAACCCACAGTGTGTTTGGTATGGGATGAAAGTAATGCAGTGATTCTGACCAGCCTGAAACATTGCCCCTTCAATAAATAATTTACTTACCTCAAATATCTGGGTTAAAATTTGACTGTATTGAACAACTGATATTACTTGGGCGTCGTTTCATATAGTTTGGCCGTTAGGTAGGACTTGACCAGTCCAAGGTGCCAATAAGTCGTTTGCTCAAGATAAATAGCTAACCAAATGTCGATCATCATCGTTATCTTTAGGGAGTAACAGACTACTTAATAAACAATTCTGTTCCATGAATTCTGCTTTCGGTCGATGTAAATTCCAGATTCACAATTGTTATGATATTCACCTGTGGGCACAGGAGTTTGTGATGGTGTTGGGTTTTCTGTAATACAGCATGCTATGCCCGCTCAGATCTGGTCAGTTATTCAGAAATTCAGAAGGGTGGATTAGTAATAAAATGGGAACTAAATCTTCTTTATGATTTGCAAGACTTTCTGTAACTACTAAATGATGAATACCTTCCCGTGGGTTGCACTAAGTTCCTCGCTACACATACGCACCAATGTACCCAGAAAAACCCTTGAGAATTAAAATTAGTCTCTGCAGTAATATCTGATGTTGGTCGAAAAATTAGGTAGATACTTTGACAAAATTTTGGTTCCGGAAGTAGCTTACAAGTGGTTCCAAAAGTAAGAAATCCCCAGATGTCATATTAACAGATCAAGTTGCGAAATATTGACTGCATCATTTTCATAAGCAGTGCAAATAGAATCAGTTTGCTAGGAGCATTTTGAAGAGAGCAGACATTTCTGTGAAACAGTAAAACGACATACAGGTCACTATTCACCCCCGATTCCAATATTTCATACTGTGTATTTCTTAAGTGAAGGTTTGCTCAATTCATACATTCACCACCACCGATAATATGTAACTCCATCATGGATAAGATTTTATTTTGATAAATCACATAGTGTTGTACAGTAATATTAATCTTACTGTACAACACTATGTGATTTATCAAAATAAAATCTTATCCATAACGAAGATATGCTCTACCACAGTGCCCAAGTTTTATACTTATATCAACTGATGATATGTTCCACTTCCAAATTAACCACACTTACCGATGGCATTCTTCATGTTAGGAGTATTTGAACGACGAATATGCCCTGAATAAATTATAAGAAAATTCAGAGCGGGAAGATAGCAGCCAGAGTCATGTTAAATGACTTTGCTTGGAAAAATTCAAAAACGCACTAACAATAATGTGTTTCTCGAATTACTCATCCCCACATCTAATGGAAGGCGGCTCATTAATACCACTTTAGGGCCTATTTTACCCGTCGATCACGTTGTTCTACTGCTGCTTTCATCTATTTTGATGCAGCCGGAATACGAATACAAAAATACTTAGGAAATACTCCACGATCTGTGGATCATGTTTCGTCTACGACAGTTGTGTGAGTTTACTGGTCAGTCTTGCAACAAGAAGCCCAAAAGTATATGTCAGCCAAGTCTCATAAACCGTTAATGCCCAGCTCTTGCTACGCTCGGGCTCACGCTGTCACTTGAAGTTTCTCAGAAACGCTTATTAATAACGGACGAAAAAACCCAAACACCAGTTGTTGACCCGAGGATTCTTTATTGTTACACCAACATATAAATCAAGTATGACTAAGGTCTGTGAACAAATATTACAATGATAAATCACAATATTACTTCTGATGGTTTACTGCTGACTTCTTTCTGAACAGCGACCGATGAGACGATGACTGTCGTATTGATGCCTCCGCGAAAATTGGGGAAGTTGATTTTGAGCAAACAACCAAGAATTGATCGTTCAATCTTCAACTCCATTGACACTCCCCGGCAAAAAAGGGATCCATCCTTTTTTCCTTCACGACCAATACACGTTGACTTGGATGCCATTGCGAGAACCTGGGTCACACGGACAGAGCTGAAATGGAAAACAAACAGAAAAGCCAACACACCACAAGCATACCCACAGCACAATCTCACACATCAATGACGACCTGCGCCTTCCAGTTAAAGGCATCCTCTTGACATCTTGCAACACAATCGCCACTTGCTAGAATGACTCTTGCAGAATGCAACTTGACCATAGCACCACCTCATGATACTCTACGCACATCCTCTTATCTACTCACTACCAATTACCACTGAAATCGCTTGTCACTCATTCTGCCTCAGTTCTAGTAGCGGTGACGCATGCGAGCCTCAGTCGTTTACACTCTTTCTCCCCGGCGTGTCGGACAGCAGCTAACAATTATCTCCGTGTGCATTTCATTCTCAGCAATAGCCTAGCCTCCCCGGCGTATACGACCCATCTGCTGTCCTTAACATCAATCAATTCATTCACGGATGTAGAAGACAAGAAACAACTTCAGAAGTAATCACGACGAAAATTTTAACAAAATTACGCAATAAAAACAAGATACGAAAACAACAAGTAAACACAATGAATCCAAAAACACCAATTGATATGACACACCACACATATATACAAACAGTACACACAAACTCGCGGATCATGTCTTGATGGAATTCCTTTGAAGAATTGCAGGACTTACACCAGTACGCCTACAACCCTTCTCAGGTTGACGATTGTAAGTTGTGGAATGTCCGGACACAAACAAGATTAACCAACAATTACGATAATTGGAACTCACACAACTATTTAACACAAACATATGTACAATCAATACATCAAAAGTGGTGGATTCTGGCACGACAAACTACCCTTGAAGAACTGTAGGACTTACAGCAGTACGCCTACATTCCTTCTCAGGTTGATGATCCAAGTGGAAGTCGTCCGGACACAAACAGAATTACCAACAGCTAGATGACAGATGATATCAATTCAGTATATACAATATGAACATATGTACAAAATCACACACCAAGCACATTGGACTGCTCATTGATGCGCTACCCTTTGAAGAATTGTAGGACTTACAGCAGTACGCCTACAACCCTTCTCAGGTTGACGCTCTAGGTTGGAAAATCGTCGCAGAGTTCATTTGCTAACTTCCTTCTATGAGCTATATCCTCAAATCTGAACGGCAACACGCCCATGTCATTGTATCGTAGAATATAGATGACCAACAAACACACGACGTATCTGGTCAACCAAGTGTAGAAACAGAGTAATTTACACCAAAGATAATAACATTCAAATAGTAACTTGAAACTAGAAATGCCTTTATTCATGCAAGTCAATTTAACAATTACTCTCTCGTTTACACTTGGCTTATTCTCACTAAACTGAGCAATATCTTTCGTCCTTTCAAATGCACAAATACTATCATAGTCATTGCATAAGGCACGTGAATTCATGGACGTCCATTTCATTGTGGATGAAAACACCAACGACGACTGAGTGACACAAGGTGATGAAATTAGCGGTGGATCAGAAGCTGTTGTTGCTCGACTTTCAGAAATTTGTCTACCTGCAAGACCACCACCACTGCTGTCTTTTACTATCAGCTCAGGTTTAGCACTAGCATCTGATGATAGGTGGGCTACATGCTGATCAATCACACTGACTGTCTCACAAGTATGCATGCCTTCTGCAACTGCATCTGCGTTCAATTCTATTTCACTTTGTAGTTGTACAGAACCTTTGTTCAACTTAGCAGTAGTAGGCATATCCCTCATCTCATCATGATCAACCAAAGACAAACGTGAAGTATCATGATCATTATCACGAATATTCACTTTACCGTCAACTTCATCATTTTCAAACTCTTTAATAACAGAAGTAGACAATTTTGGTTCCTCCTCGCAAATCCTAAAAGGTTTTATAACTTCACTCTGACTAGTAATACCTTGTAAACTTGTGGAGTCAGAACTGCACTCTGAAGTAGCAACTCTATTCTGTGACACTCTATTCAACAATGGCTTACCAGTTGCAACTACAGACTTCTTGACCACACCGTTATCGTCACACAATTTGGAGTGAGAACTTGATTTCACATTTAGCTTATCACTGAACTTGCTCACTGATTCACAGTTCACCTTTGTATGCACCTCTTGCAAACGTGTAAAACACAACCGTGTTTGCCTTGAATCTTGTAACTTATCTGTTGAGGATGTACTACGAAACCTGTTACACTCACTAGGTCTATATGCATTACTAGACATCATGGAGCCTTCTCGATATCCACCTCTCTGAGGCCCTTTCGTCATCAATGATTGCGTTTTTCCCTCAGACTGCTCTATTCTAGGGATGAGATTCAATATACTGGCAAACTTGCTCATAGATTGATTGACACTAGTATTTACCAGTTTCAGGATATCATCAAACTTTGGCTCGATACCCTCATCCTCCATACGGGAGCTTATCTTCACCCACTTCCTTTGCAGTCGAGTAGGTAGGCGTCTTGCTATTACTTCTAGTATAAAACTCGAGTTGAGGTCACTCATGCAATTCATCGAAATCATTCCATTCTTTTAAATTAGCAAATTATCTATAAACTCAGTGAGTGCCTTGGAGTCATCCTGTAATTGACCACCATTACCCTTAACAGCCTCGAATAATTTCCCTGCAATCATCGAAGGTCTTCCAAACCTTTGACGTAATATGCTCATAGCCTCATCGTAGCCCTCTTTTGGCTTCATAAACTTACAGCACTGTATAGCTCTTGAAGCATCTCCAGTGCAATATCTCATCAAATACATTAACTTCAATTCATCATTTAATAAAACACCACTCAACATGATCTCAAACTCCTTTACAAATTGTAAATAATCAGCCGGGTTTCCATCAAAACACCGTGGTTCAAATTTAGGGAGTTTGATGTTCCTATTATCCCTGAACGGCGAAACAGTAACATCAACCATGTCATGCTTAACATCAGACACATCGTTACAATTAACAGACAAGTCACCATGACTTACTTTCCTGTTTGCATCCAAGACACTCTGTCCCTTCTTTGACCCAGGCATTGTTGAACTTGACCCAATTCCAAAATCGTTCCAGATATTGCTTGTTCAAAGAGGACTTGACCGGCACCAGGAAAGATGAACGGTGACTATCCAAACTTTCACCAACTGTTTGATTCCGCCAGAATCTGTTTCTACCGTCAGAAACTGTCAGCCACGTCTCATAAACCGTTAATGCCCAGCTCTTGCTACGCTCGGGCTCACGCTGTCACTTGAAGTTTCTCAGAAACGCTTAGTAATAACGGACGAAAAAACCCAAACACCAGTTGTTGATCCGAGGATTCTTTATTGTTACACCAACATATAAATCAAGTATGACTAAGGTC